ACCGACCCCGGAGGGATGAAAGACTTGGTTGGCCTAGGCGGGCATCGATCCGGGATTCGAACCCGTAACCGTGCGTATGATATAGTGCGCCACTTGCCATTATACCACCTCCACCCAGCAGCCCTGGGTGGACACCACACAATAACGCAGAACTATAAAACTATACAGTAAGCATTAAAAGGCCTAGGGCACGGGATTCGCTACCGCCTGCTGTATTTCATGGCGAAGTCAGCGGTGGCAGAAAACCAACCGGCCGACGGGGAAGTAGACGATAGAATGCAGCGATTCAGAAATCTTGACACCCTAAATGGTAAAAGAAGTAAATCTGGGGCTAAGCATCGCTTATTATCCGCCCTGTTTGTTTTTTTTTGTTTGTTTTCTTTTCGGTTTCTCTTCTCACTCTCATTAATAAGTTCATACTCAGATACAGTTGGGAGGCGCCTCCAATCATGACAACGAGGTCTTGTGATACAGCGATTTTTTTTGGAATATTTTATCCCTCCAATTTCGCCACGGCATTTACGTCACTTCCATGTGACTGAATAATCGGGCTAGCAATGACTGCTGCTAGCTCAGCAGGAAAGCTGTCTGCAGACTGCCCCCCCCCCCCCTTACAGCCACATGTTTTTCTTGTCGCCATTGCTTCACATCACATATGCAATAGCGTAAACAACAACATGTCTGTCACCGACGAATCGCTCTTGGTAAAGCCAGGGAATCTTTGGAGATCCCACGTTCATCACTAGTTTGTAGGCGGTTTCCAAGAAGCCTCTACATAATTACTTTTCTGAGAATCCTTTTCTAAGCACATGTAAACAGTCTGGTTCTCTTGAAGCCAGGTCTACTAACTACCGTAGACTATTGGGTGACGTCGAGACTCTCAGACAGATCTGAGCTTGAAGAACGCGGCTCCCTGGTACATCCGGACTCTGCTACTCTTGGGGGCACACATACATTACTATTTTCGTGGAAATCCTCGTTTACCCACATGTAAACAGTCTGGTTCTCTCAAAGTTGAGCTTCATAGCTACCGTAGACAAGTGTTTGAGCTGAGGCTATCTTATTTAGTTGGATCCCCATAGATCTCCTCTCACCTAGATCTCCAGCCCTCCCTATTCAGCCTTCCCACTCCCTCGTTCTACATATTTCCCTGTCACCAATGCTTAGTCTGGCATGAAATCGATGGTCAGGGTTTTTGTGCTACCCCCTTGTTCGAATAAACAGCTCACGTGCTGTGATAACCAGTTATGTGGCCTGGTTGACTTTATAGGGACTGTTTTTAACAATGAACTAGAACAAAAATCAAATTCGAGTATTATCGTGGAATAGATAAAGGCTAGGGGTATTCCATGATAGGAAAAAGTACCTGGGATCGAGAGAAGTAACTCTAGATGGTAACCACCGAGAGTATGCCAACTCTTCTGTGCCAGATGCCGTGAGCCGACATCACCAGTGTAATCCTCCACCCCCTTCTCACAGTTATTATTGTTCAGTTGTATTGATTGCCATTCAGTCAACAGAATGCAGCTGATGACGTCTCAACAAGTGCGTTTTGTTGACTTCATGTTTGCCACCCACATTTCCGGTGTTCCCTCTTCCTACGTCATATGGTTGGATCATTCGCTACAATTGACAGATCAACAATTTCGCCATAGGGACAGTAACCGGAAACCTGCGGTGATTCTAGGTGAAAGACAGTCTCTGTTTTTTGGGCAGGAAAATATGTCAGACCTACCACACAGTAAAAATAAATTATAGATCTAATAAAAATGAACTCTGCCATTGACAACTCGGTCACTCTATCGTTCCTCTCAATTTCCGATAACAAAGTAATAACTATTAACTACAATACTACAAAAATCCACGAATAAAGGAAAGATGCTCAGTTCATTGAGCGAAGACATCCAAATTATTCAAAAGTTCTGAAAATTGAAAAGTTATTAAAATAATAAAGTGAGTAGTAAAAGCTCATTAGTTATCGAAGACGTCAAGGCACGCTATTATTTGTCAACGAAATTTAGCAGTACCTCACTTTTGGGTATGGCCCTACTTCGGCTTGAGCTAACCAGTCGGTACTTCCGCCAAAATACTGACTGGGGAACTGGTTATTGCTCAGACAGTATCATTGAATATTGGAAAGTTGGAAGTCGTACTGCCACAGGTTAGACAAGTACGATGGTTTGTCAAGCAACTCCTCTCAGCCTATTCATTCAATCTGACTTTGATCAAACGTGAGTCTTGATCTCTGTGCTCAAATGTACTCACGTCCACATCACTCAGGATCCTTTCAATATCCAAAAAATCCAGAAATTTCAAATCCAAAAAAGACCTATTAATATCTGAAGGAGTCAGGGATATTGTCCAAAGCTTGTATGTTAACCTCGTAAAGAGTTTCAACAAATTTTATTCGAAAGCCCAGGTGCCCACACTCAAATATTAATTGAATTCATTCGGGAGCATAAAAGCACTGACTTCTACGTCGGCTGGCCACCGCAAGTCATTGTAAAGGCCACATACGCACTCATTACGCCACTGCGATTCTGAATGGAAGTCGAGTGCGGGGGCCCATCCCTCAGACGAAATTGGTCAACGCCAAAAAGTTAATCCTTTATCCTTTATTATAACCTTCGTTGAGAGATTCCCCATTGCCTTGTTTTAATAACGCTGTCAACCGTATTAGGAGTTCTATTCAGAGTGAAGTCTAAACGAAAGAGATTCTGACGATTAACAAGGCATTACAACTTGGAGTCCTCCATCATGAAGGTAGGAAGTTGTCCAACTTCAGGTACAGGCTAAAACGTTCAACCTCCTTCCCTCACGCTGCCGATTATGGTAGCATAATGTGCCAATCTGACCGAAGGTGGTGTTGTCCCAAGTCGTGCACAATCATTAGCTTGGTTCGGGTCCGGGATAGAGTCCCGGCTCGACAAATGCTCTCTCTATGACAGTTGCTCTCCACTGCCGTAATCTGCCATGAGAACGCTGTCATATGAAACCGAATAATGAACAAAATATTTGGGTTCAGACAAGTATCGAACTCGCTCATTAAGGGGAACCTGTTCGGCAAAATGCCTTCCTCATTGCAGTGGTTTTTCCAAAATGATTCATGAACGTTTTCCGTAGTGAAAGTACAACAGGGCCACCCGTCTAGACACTTCGATTAGAGGAGGCATCGGCATCGAAGTGCACAGCATAGCACGTTGTGTCCGTCACGTTCCGCTCGCACTCTGATGTCTACGACTGCTGGGGAGTTCCTGGTATGCTTTTTGTGTTGTCTGGTCCTAGGACGGCAACGAGCGCCGTCTGCCTCATCCAGACAGTCATACATGAAGTGCACACGTACTCATACAAAAAAACCGTTCAACAAAAATCCGTAATGGCTTCCGGAAGAGCCGCGTCAGAAGTGTAATGGAGCGTCATCAGCTTATCAGTAGATGTACTTAACAATCGTTGGCAAAACCACTTTCATCGCCTCTATTTAGACAGAAATGAAAGACTTGTTGACTACTGTTACTTCCCAGAAATGTAGCCTTCCTGTTCAAAGAAAGTAATTGTTTAATGGTTGTTTGCGTGCATATAATAACTAGAATCTGACGTTTGTTTTCCCCACGCCATTCTGGGTACGGCAAGAATAAAAGATGTTTGGAGTACTATTTACGGAAGACAATTTCCAGCTGCTTTAATGAAAAAAGCATAAAGACTGAGTTTGCCATCTTTGAGTGATTATATGGATGCGAGTATGGATATGAGTTTTAGGATGCGCCGTGTATCCGACTCACAGTCAGAATCGTATTGGCATTTGAAAGAGCAGTTGCCTATGTAATGATCAGCGGGGATCGACCCAAGTAGAAGTCAGTGATTCCAGCTCCCAAAGAGTTGCGTAATACCAGCTTGTCACCCTTGGGGNNNNGGGGTTGAATGAGAATTTTGTTCGTCTGAGCAGGTGCCGACCAGGGTTCCAAACCCCATACGTGATTTGTGGTCTTTTGGAGTCTCAAACTTCCTTCTTTTCTCTTTTCCCCTCCCTTTCCGAGGGGGAATTCATCGTCTTTTTTGAATAATCATGACGGTTCACCAATTTTTCTTCATTTTTCTTTTATGGATCCTCTATAATGAACAGCCACTCATTCCAGTTTCTACGAGTGTCAGTACATTCTAGAGAAAGGATCAATCGACACCAATGATTAATGGCTTGATAATGGCAGAGGTCTCATAGATCACCTGGCAACCTTGCTTTGTAGGGCGATTGAAGTAGCGAAGGTTTCCTCTAATTTCTTCCCTAGTGCGGAATTTCGCCGAAAAACGGGACAAATTTGCTGGAATGTCACCGAATGCCACCCATATATTCTGTCATGTGACAGTCCGTCCAGGTGACTAATCCTTCCAAAGCGGCTACGTGGCCGCTTGATCGGTATCAGGGTAGAAGAAGCGATAAGCACTTTAACCTTTGCATAGCCACACTCTAGTATGTACTTTTTCTATGAAGCAACTGATAGCTCTGACGTCTTACCAGATGACGAACGTTTCCAGCTAAGCACCGTCATATTACTGGCGTAGTGATAGATGGGGGTCAGAATCCCGATCAGGGCGAGCTTCCACCAGTTCACTTTACGAAGGAGGGAATGGTCCACTGACTGAGCGCAGGTCTAACTCCGTATAGAAGGCCTCTCGAGAAGCATGCTTACTTTGCTGGGCCGGAGTTGATTGGGAATTTGCAGCAAGCGCCCACTCTAGTTTCCCATGCAGGGCCACCATTTCTGTCAGACACTGCAGGGGAGTTGGTCTAGACGTTAGAGACGCAGATAGGTCGTTCAGACCACGTAACGTCAATGTGCTGCGATCTATGTGTTAACTGTGTGACGGTGAATGTATAGACATATGAGCCAGACAGCCTGTTAGAGACAACATGGATGGCAGTGAGCGCGGACAACGATCCGATGGGTGAGAGGGCGTAGCAGTCGGCGCGGCGCAGCCAGTTGGGCGTGGTCGAGACGCGGGACATGCAGACGACGACAGCCCCCCGAGTGCCTCCCGTCCAGACGGGGTCGGCGATGCTGCGTAACCTGGTGCGAAGTCTACGAAGTCGTGCACGATCTGCTGATTCGAAAACTCCCACGAAAACCGTTCGGGACACAGATGAGCCACCCATTCTCGACACTATCGTGAGTTCCCTACTGGATTTACTCCTTTCAATTTACTCGTTTTCAAGTCCATATACGGTAATAGAAAGGGTTGGGTCGGACTCCTAAGGGCTCTTACCGAACGGACGAGTTCCGCGTCCACTAAAATTAGTTTTTTGTCAAGATGAACAGCGATTGGCCCCTCTCAGCCTCTTTCATACCCATAGACATGACCCTTAAGATCACCTGTCGGGGTTTTCCTGACATCTATCTTCAACTTCTCATTACTCTCATCACTTTCCGTAGTAGGTAGTATTGTTTTATTGTATTCTGCCTCCCTTTGCTTCATCAATACCGCTTATTTTCGCCAAAAAGAAAAAATCCGACGGTCATATGAACGTTCCGGCTGTGTTCAGTGTCAACAGCTAACACAATATCGACATTTTCGGCTTTTTTTTCGACTCCACACTGGTTCATCCCAGAGCTTCTTTTTGTTCTTTTTCGTTCCAAAACCTCCTGTTCGTCGTGATCGACATCGGTTCATGGGCAGTGCCTGCCACCAAGTGAAACTGGTTAAAACCCCACCTCGAAAAATTTGAAGAAGTTTTAAAATTCTGAGGAAATTTCTATGAATTTAAAAACAACTACGATCATACCAGAGCACGTGATCTACTGTCGGTAAATAGCACAACTTTGGCTCGCACGAATGCTAGTCTCTTAGAATAGGTATTGATTTTACGCGCGTACAGACTAATGCATTTCTTTACCGTTCCATCCATTTATCAATCAATCAATTCAATATCCTGCTGTATATATCTATAGTATAATACCTTTTATACTTATATGGCTGTATATATATGATAACTGTATTTAGCAATTTATCATTAATTATTATTAATCAGTATTAATCAATAATCGTTAAATTATACTAGTTTTCCAAGGGACCGAACCTTGGAACTGCGTCAGTTTTAAGTCTAATCGAAAGATTAAAAGGACCGACCTTCTTGAATGGAGTCGTAGATGGCTACAAGAACTTCTAATTGTGGTTTCGGACCCCTCCTGGATGTGCTTCAAGCCTGAAGCTGAAAACCATTGGCCAAATCGGTAACTGGTAAATCAATAAATCAATAATTGTAATACGTTTAGTAGGTTAGATATGGATAAGAAGTTGTGGAAAAGAGCCCCATATCGATTTGTATTCTCGAAATATTTTTCTGATAGACGGCTGTTATTCTGAGAACACTGTTGAATCCGGTTTCTCTCTCTCTTGGACATATCAGTGACGTTAGCTGGCTGGCTGGCTGGCTGGCTGGCCAGGCGGCTAGATGGCTGGTGTCTGCAAAGCTGATTATATTCCCGTCGTCGTTGACGTCCCAGCCAATTTTGAAGCTCGTTAATGACGTCACGGACATTTTTGAAGCATGTTCGAAAGAAAAGTCCAGTTTTCATCAATTGCATCATGCAGCGCTTTTTTGTGGGTATGGGATTCACACCCATGAATGATAGATACCATTACCGAACTCTGAACCATGGCCAAGGCGTTAAATAAGTCTTGCTCCGAGTAAAGTTTCAAATAGTTGTTTATTGTTTGTTTATTGCCCTTCTGAGGCTCAAAATAGTCAAAATAATAATAATAACTACTTAAATCTTCTGATTTTATTGGGTTGTAACATAAGTTCGTAGAGTTTTGTGTTGGGGTCATTTTACAGCGACTCGCTTTGTTTTTTGGCGAAGTGTATATATTCATTCGAAAGAGCTCTTTCTCCTCTATAAAAGTTTTATTCGTTTTTTGGATAGCCTAGTTGTACGTCTTTTTTCTGGCTCAGAATTGGAATATCCAGGAGGAGAAAATCAGCATTTTCGACATCTGCTTTTCATCGAGGTCAATAAGCAGCCGAAGTCGATCGAGACATATGCATTGTGTGCGAGGAAGGTGTCTTAGGTGTGTCTCTGAGTGGCCCCAGGAGTGACACCGAAGCCGAGAGTCGAGCAAGACCTTCATTCAAAATAGGTCATGATTTGCGTTTGGTGAGACTGGAAAGGCACGGTGCACTGGGAAATGCTCGAACGAAATGCTACTCTCAACAAGGAGGTCTACATTGCCCAGCAAAACCGTGTTAGTGTGGCTATACGGCTGAAAAGACCCGNACTCTACGAACTTATGTTACAACCCAATATATCGTTAATATCCTGTAAAATCGTATATGGCTCATCTATACCTAAGCCACATTCTTTTTCGTTCAAACTTCATGGTCCACCAGTAAATTTGTAAAAGTTTTTTCTTCATTTTTTTCTCTGAATCCTCTTGATTGCCTCTACTAAACGAAGCTGCGAACTGTCTTTAACAGACTATCGTCCATCGAAATCCGAAATTCTGACTCTTTTACGATTTTCTTTTTTATTGAATCTTTCGGTTTTTTTCTGTCAGTTACACGCTTTCCATACCTTCCCTCTCAGTTCAATTCCCGGATGATCGAGAAGGCATTAAACAAAAGTGATCTTTGGTTTCCAGCATTATGGGCCAATCCATTCGACCGGTTCCGGTTTACTCTCCTACCGCGCTCGGTGCCCTCCGTTCCCCATTGTCATGCAGGACGGGACCTTTTCGACAGAAAGAAACGCAAGCCTTCAAGTCGCACTCATTCGCCTTCTTATGGCGGTTGAGCACAGTGAGGCCTCCTTGTTGATACGGTAGTTGAAGTTGTTCTAGTGGTGCTCTAGGTAGATTCGCCCCAGATCGTGAAGGGGATGAAAATCGATCTATGAAGAGACTTCCCAGACCATCTAGTTCATTAGCTTATCTGAAAGAGGAGGAACGACCGTATTCTTTGTAGATTACTAGTACGACTAACAGAAATTCACAAATTGGTGTGGGAACACATATACAAAATCACGGGCCCGTTTTTTGGTTGAATTTTCGAATCGATAGGGAACCCGATAAAAAATCGACGAAGGCAATGACGACTGATGTCTGTGACAGACGACGTCAGGGTCGGGAGAGGCAGACAGAGGAAGAGACACGGAAAGAGAGCGAGAACGGAGGGAAAGGAACGTGCGATTAGTCGTGCTCGCACCGACGTCAGCCAACCGGCCAGCCAGCCCGTCAGCCATCCCGCCGCGTAGCCCCCCATCCGACTGTCCAATGCGACGACTCAAGTTTTTGCGGTCGGGGCTAATATCAAAGATCACTCCGTGTCGGGGGCTGTAGGCACATTACCGTCGCAACGACATCAGTCTATTCGTCCCCAGACCAACATTTTTGAGCAATCATCATAGAGCAGATTCCTATGGGTGATCAAAGGACATATCGCGGAGTAAACTTTGGTCCAATCTTTGCAAAAAACGCCTGCCCAAGATCATTTGAACAATTTTCATAAAAAAAGGAGATAAGATAAGCAAGTGAAGAAGGAATGCATTTTGAGGAGTTATCAGCTTCTACCGATTCCGTGAGCGGTTCCAAAAAAGTAGTGACTCCAGTATTTCTGGTGCTAGTCAATCCGACCCTCTAGCGTGTGCTGTGTATCCGGCTTCTATTCAGAGTCGTGGTAACGGTTGAATGCGTATGTGACCTATAAAATGATTGCGATGGCCAGCCAATGTACAAGTCAGTGCTTCTATCCTCCCAGACCGACCGATCCCGGAAACATGAAAGCTTAGTGGCCTGGGATGGAATCGATCCGAAATTCGATCCTTCTGCCATGCGTGGGAGATAGTACGCCTTTGGGTAGTGCACCACCCACGCTTTATGGCTTTGTTTCTCAAAGTTGTCGGCTTCTAAACTTTAAAGGTCCCTGGGGTGTTGAGATAGCAGACCATTAGCAGTGAACATTTAAGTAAACAATCTCCAATGAAGTAGTGACATGATCTCTGATCTTCTTTTAGCCTTCTGATGTTATTGACGTCTCATTACGTTCATAAAACAGTATTTATGAAAGTTTGGTTCAAAGATCACTTTATGTTACCGCATTTACCACCTTGTCACCCAGGGCGTTTTAATTTGATACGTTTCCAACGTTTTCCAATTTGTTCCTTTTCCGTTTATTAATTTATGCTTCAGTTCACTTCAAATTTGAATGGTAATAAGCAACTTTGCATAATGATCACTTTAAAAATTCTTAAAACAACATCGACAAGGGATTATTCACAGTTTATTTCGGTCTTGCTCGTTTTAGTGGCTCGATATGAAGCGGCACTTCATCTATGATCATTTCGAAGTTGACACAGCCTTGTAGCCTTAATAAGGTATTAGTGTTCGCTCACATGATTAGAATCTACATCAAAAATCAGCGTAACAGAGTGCTGAACAATTAGTTCCCCTGCCGTGGGCTTCTCCTTCCATAAATATCAAAAAAAAAAACTAAAAAATTGCAAAAATAGATTGATTGGAATTCGAATGCTGGCCGATTTCCAAACGAGACAGATCAATTCTAACTCATTCTTACTCATTTATTCTGAACCTCCTGAGAGTAGCTCACGAAAATCAATCGGAACCGATAGCCTCCCAAACCGCATTCAAAATATTGCTTCACAGTAAATTACCAAGCCTAATTTAGTCTTTATAGCCTCTATAACAGCTTCACTAGCAGAAAGAGTAAGCGTTCTGAGTTTGTTTTTGCAAACCTTGGTATAACATCCAGTGCTAGACCAAAAGCTTCGTTGGTGGTCGTCTCTGTTTACATCCCTTCTGACATATCGATTTTACTGATTGATTGCGTATGCAACGAGCCAACACCACTCTGAAATACCGCAAAAACAAAGATCAAATCCAGTGATACTTCATTATCACATCGGATAGTCTATAAATGAAATTATCGGCGATTCAGCATATTCGTCACTTCCGTACTCTACCTACCTCCCAGTACTTGATTGACCCATTCAGACATCTATCCCTGTAAATATTTCAAAGGGAAAAGGCTCGAGAGTCCTTTGACTGTATTAACCCTAATTCTCCGTAAACATCTACTTCTTAACATAGCTAGATATTCCTAAAATCCCTAACCTCCCGATTTTTATCGTAATGTTTGAATATTTTGTTATATTTTTATTATAATTTAAAATAATAACTCATCTTAAAGGAATCTCTAAAGAGAACCGGGTAACTACAGGTTCTCCTTCACCCAAGAGTCCACTAACTAAGAAGCTTACCATGGGAGAAAGACCTACTGTAAGAATGAGGCAAGCAAGGTGATTTCCTGAGATTCAAATGTTGGTTAGTAAGTAGTGTTTAGGAGTGCAATATTTTTGTGGAGTTTCTAAGTTTCTGAACTATTTCGATGGCTCATGAATGCTGATGAAAGCTTTGTACGCCCTCCTATTCCCAGTCCATTTAATAAAATTCCGATAAATTTCTTTTTTCCAGTAAAAGCTCTCCAGCTATAAAGATCGTAGTGGTAATAAATAATTCATGTCTTATCGTGATTGACATCCTATTTCTGATGGCTGTAGTATCGCTCCCCACCTGGAACGGAATAGATTAATTGCCCGCCGTATACCAAAGATCGTTCTCAACCACATGGGTTCATAAAACAGGAGATTCCGACGATTAGGAACCGATTTCTTCGATCCTACACTCCACAACGGAATCATTATTTCTACAGTAAATACTTACCTAAGTTGTCTTTTTAAAGTTGGGTTTATCTGAAGGTGAAGGTGATCCTATGGGGCCATGTCAGATGCAAAAGGTGAAATCTCGGATTGATACCAGCCCGGACCATCCAAGTTTTCCATGCCTCACTTCAATCGTAAAAAAAGCTCCTTTAGGAGGAACTGGCTTAAACATTGGCTGATCCCATCTCATTGTATGGCCGAATACGCTGAAATCACCCCGTGGAGGCATCTCGAAACGCCATAACGCCTCCCCCCNNTCCCCCTCTCCTCCTCCAAAAAAATGGATTGAAGAGAAAATAGTTCAGTGAAAAAGCAATTTCCAAAGCTCTTTCGCTGAAATTTATGGGCAGCACTTCTTTGAAACATTGGTTTTGTAGTTTCCGTTCTGAAAACTTGTTCATGCATTACTGCATAATATAAAGTAATAGTTTATGGGTTTCCCATTACATTGCGACCACCCCCTTTCCTCTCCCACCATTTCCCTTCCGCTGACGAAGCAATTTAGCACATGGTCATTAGGATTTTTCTTTTTTTGTACCTTGAGGGGCCAATGGCGTAATCGACCCCATTCATGAAAAAAACTCGAATGGTCTACTGCACATATTTATGAGTATTCATATTAGCTGATCCTACCTTAAATGGTAAACATAAGTAAGTTAATATGATGAACAAATGAGCACAACCTTAAACACTATCATACGACAGCATGTGAATATAATTTTTTTATCGAAAAAATTCTAAGAGTAGACGAGTCGCTCGAGAGGCAAGCAATAGCAGCTCTTTGTATATGCCGGTCTATCTACTAGAAAAAGCAGTAATCTTATGAAAAAGAAAATCAAGTACCAAAGCTCTAAGCTTACTGTCATGGAAAAACTGAACGAAAAAAATGGATTCGCCGAATTTTAGCCACAGAGAGTAATTTTGTAAAATAATTTAAAAATTTTTTAGCAACGAATGGTTGACAAATGCATGGCAGAACAGAATGACGAGCAAGAACCGTCGTGCAGTGATGATACGTGCTGTGTATGCATGTCCCGTGTGGCCACTGTTCATGCCTATCCATGTGGGCATAAGATCAGCTGTAGGCTATGTGCAACCATGATGCTCAAGGTGAGAACTACTTCATTCCATCCCCAAACGATGCTCCCACTCCAAATTTTGATTATTGACTTACTTGTCGCAAGGGTACTTTTTCATGTTTCTTGAAGTCATTTTCTAAAACTTTTTAATTGGCCATATGTTTATGGCAATTCACGGTGTTCCCCCGCTTGATCACCGATTCACCTGGCGACTTGAAAACGGAAGAGTTGCCGCTATTGAATCTCATGTTAGGGATGCTTTTTCAGGGCCATATGTAAATAATAAACAGGAATTTTACATCATTGCATGCAATCTAACGAAGCAGTAAGGGATACCAGTTACTGCCCGGCAAGTCATAACGAAAAGGGGATCGAGGAAATGGAGAACACATGACTTTTTCAGATCCGAGCATTGGGGAAGATCTCGCAGGACTTCGGACCATCTTGCCCATCCTCCCCTACTCTGCGGGAGAATTGAGCCATTCTAGAAACACCGTCCTTGTTCATCGAATCTCTACCTAGGAACCGTTTAGCCTCGAGTAATCAGCTCCCACTGAATAAGGCGTCCGGATCGATTTCTAGATCAAGCCTAACTTACGCTGTGGGCTGCTTCGGTGTAGGGTCATGAAGAACAGTTCTTCCAGGCTCGGCTAGGGAGGATTAGATGTGGGATTATCAAACTGAGCATACCGTACACTTTCGTGGCTTATAAGAAGCCCCTCCCTTGGTAATACCGAGTCTGGGAGAGTTACTCTTCAGAGCATACAATTTGGGACCCTCGGAAACTTTTCGTTGAAAATAAGCCTCGATTTCCTGCATTCTTGAGTGGCTGCGACTAGGAAAATTCGAGCCAATAACGACTGTGGCAAACCTTTTGATGTACAAGAGTCATCTTCTAGAAACATTACCAAGTCCATTCATTCCCCGAATCTTCTCAGGAGCCATTTGCTGCTGAGATTGGCGTAGACCTATCTGTTGGAAAATTCACCAAAAAAGGCGTCAGTGTTAAGGGTGGTCGCGTCAACACGATCTGGGCAATCATTTCGATCATCGATCATTTGATAGTTCGAATCCGTCACTTCTGATTAAAATGCTAATCACTTCCGTTTCCTAGCAGTCTCCGCTTCCAACCCCTAAAGGACGGTCGCTAGAGCGGCAATACATACATTCCGACTAACCTCAAACAGCATAGGTAATACCTCCTACATCGGGAGCTAATCAAATATATTCTAATTAATAAAGCAAGCAAACATACAGGGGAATGAAGTGAAATTACTCGACCACGTTTCTTTTGGGGTTACTGTAGAAGCTGACGGTGTGAAATGCTGTCTCTTACTGCCGATGCCTACACCGTTATATGGGTTTATTCACAGCTTCAATTCATATATTTATTGGTTGTTGAAAGCTTGAGTGCAGGCATCGATTTAGGAACGGTTGTTACAGGCACAGCACTGGGGCTATGGAAATTTTCGATAATGGAGGGATGAAAATGGGGAGTAGGGTTAGTAGTAGGAGCGTGAGAACACCTGGCTGGAATCAAGCCTTTCTCAACGGGAGTATGAATTATTACTGCAGAAGTGATAGAGAATTTAGGCTTCTCAAAAATCATCGTAATAGCGTCACTATTCTTGAAAAAAATTTTTTTCAAAGAAAACAGTTATACCAGAGCAGAAGTGTAGAATGAGAAAAATTCTAACAGAATACTTTCGAAAAGCCCGAGTTCAAAGGTACCTGATTTAGTCAAATCAGAGGGGGGGGGGGGGGGGTCCAGTAGTGAAGGCAGTGGAAATGGACTTGTGCTAAGAGTTTGCAAAAGTCCGAATTGTCGAAATTTCCTCTGTCGTTTTTGTTAAGGGCAGGGCCCCTTGACACCTATTGTTTTTGTTATTGCAGCTAATCTTTTCTATAAGACCACTTCGCTTTTTTATCACTTCTGTTTTCAGACATCCGCAAAAGCTCAAGAAAAACACTTCCGTTGTATTATGTGTCGATCAAATGTCTACAGGTTACGATATGTTCGACAAGATCCTGTAGTAATTTTATGCAAGGTAATTTTTCAATCCATCACTTTTTAATTCCAGTTCCCGTTCTCTTATACTCTATCGAATTTTATATATAAAAATTAATCTGTTCATAATTCTTAGTCATCAAAAATAGTTTATCCATAAGTTTTCAGTCTTCAAAAATTTGATTTATTCATAATTCGAGAAAATTTATTCAAAGCCACATATCGCACTTTTGGTAAATTATTAGATGAAGTGTAACTGGTGAGGCAAAATAATTAATCTCTTGTAATAAAGGCTAATAATAGGGGTTTAAGAGTGATAATAATTTATAGAAAGGTATCGCTATTCGTACACTCAGTCTCACATTAATGTAATACCAAAAATGTCGCGTAGTCACACATTGACGTTGTTGTTGAGAATGGACAGTGGCGTAGAATTATGTAGAAGAAGAGTGAGGAGTGGAAATCATGAGAATATTGGATGAGATATAATAAACTGTGATATCACGAGTGATAGCATGGTAAATGTCGCTTATTGGGCCTACGCCAACACTTGTACTGTTCAGTCTCAAAGCAGGGCGCGATCATGAACGAATTAAAGAGGAGTCTGACACAGTATACAACAATATGATAGTACACGATAGATAATGGTAGGAACCTGTAAGGAGCGCTGAAAACTAATGCGAATGGAGTGTAGCCGGTAGGAGTGGGTGAAACAAGAATGGTCTCAAACGGAACTAAACGATTCGGAGAGATCAAAAATGGATGTCACAAAATTCGTTCTTACTTCTATTCGTCAACTTCGAGTTCGGAAACTCAGACGGTAATGAGATTTTCTCAGATGTTTTTCAGTCAGACGGTAATCGCCATTAATTCCGTATTTTTTCCAAGAAGTAAAACCATGTGCTCTTGTTGGGTCAAGGGATAAAAAAACCATGATTCCATCATGAAACCAACTCCAAAATCATAGTTAAAGTGTTATAGTTGTACCTATATTCTCAGAAAGGAAATGCTAAAAAAGAAACCAAAATGAAATGTGATATTTCAGTTAAAAAAAAGTACTACTTTTATTTGCTTGTTTATTTACAATGTTTTCGATATCCTGCATCACTGGCAACAAAAACAAAACATCATCGACTTATTATTTTTGAAACCTTTTTTGCGAATTTTTAGTAAAGTAATCGATGCCTATTCCAGCCAGAGGCTCCATTCATGTTACATTATGCCCAGCAACGTGAACGGGGTTATTGCCGATCCGCAAACAGTTCTCCAAGCCCTAATTCATCTCTAACCACCTGACACAATTACTGTCTAAACCAATCCTTTAACACTTACCGTTGCTGGCCAGTTCTGATGAGGACGATATTGATTTTATCGATTTTCACTTCACATCCATCTGAACAGCTCTTTAGGTATATTCCTTAGTAAAGTGTCTTTATCTGGATATGTTAGGTACCGAGTATAGCTTGACGTCACGTCATTGTACTATTTTGTGGTTCTCAGTGATATTTTTGTATACCGATTCTCGATTTAGGATGTAATTTATCGAAGAATTCAATGTCATGTCAATGCCATGTCTTTCGTGAATAAGTTTCTCGCTTACTGTCATGTATGTATAGAGTTAGTAATCAATTTAATTTTTTGAATTTGTATAATTATTCTATTTTATTTTTTGACTAATGAAACATGCATTTTGTTCATTTTTGACGATTCATTACATTCGTCATTGGCGAATAGTAAAGCAGAGTTTCTTGTACGATCAGACTCAATGGGATAACAGAACCGCTTTCAAGTCAGTAAGGGAAACAGCTAGCTGGCCTTTATATGGTGGCAATCTAATTTCTCCTCCGCAGCATGCTACAGTATCTGTGGCACTGTTACAGTATCTGAGGCAAGTTTAAAATACTAATAAGTAAATACGCCCAAGACTACTGTCTGGAATGAGTTCGATAGATCAGTCCTCTCGAAAGAGCGGAACCGTGCTGCGACCACGGAAAAATTCCACAACCCCACTATGGAGAGGACAAGGGCTGAGGAGGGATGATATCGAGGAAAGGAATAAAGAGCGAAAACTTTGGCGTTGATTCATCTCGCTCTATGATGGGGCCTGCATCGAACTTCCATCCAGAACTGTAGTGGCGTTCGAGATGTCTATACGGCCTACGCAGGTTTTCAAACATTGAAGGCGCTTGAATTCAGAACCTTTACGACATAAAAAATTTCGTAAATTCACTTCATTCTCTATTCGTTATTGCATAAGTAGGTTTCTTGTGATATAGGCAGTTTTTGAAGTAAACCTCCCAATACCTTTAAAGGCATAGTTCTCTATAAAAATGGTTTTTGAGACTTTCCTATAGTATGAATTCGAGGCTCCCCCTTATATCAAACCTGTCGTTATAAGGGCGAAAAACATCCTGGATAGGGCACAGTAAGGAGCCAGAGATCGTATCGTGTGAATGCCCCACCCTTGGTGGACGAGTTTCAAGCTTTGTAGAGGCTGCACCATTCACAAAGGAACTAATGTAAGAGGTTCAAACAACTTGTCATGAACGTGGCGACAGTGAAAGGCGATTCTGGATAGTTGTGGTTTGATGTAGTCAGCTCTTTGCACGATGGGAGCAAGTTAAATCTCGTTCAAAACCCCCTTACATGCCATTCCTGTCGCGGTGATCTCGTACAACCTCTACTCCAACTACTTTTGAAGCCTTGAAGTGGGCGGATTTTCTCGCTTTCTTCGCCGCCGGTTTAATCCACTACATCAACACCCGCTTTATAGCCTAAAAAAGGTACTTCACATTAATCGTGAACTGTGCCATTAAGATGGTGAGGGCTCAGTTAATAACTTGCACCACGCACCATTTGCAATCACTAACATGCAAGAGGCAGAAGGGCAAATGAAATTTTCTCGCGATTCTAATAATGACCGAACAGAAGACTATCAAATCAACTTTTGCTTCTGAAAATAAAGGCGCAACGAAAAGAGCTTTTAAAGATTACCAAAGTGTAGTGACTTGGCGTCAACCAAAATGAAGCAACCATTACCACGTACACCTTTAACTGGATCAGTTGCGGTCAGCTATTTCACCGCAACTCATCTTTTTCTTGGGCTCACTACAGTTTTTCTATGCGAAATGATGGAAAAAGCGACTGACAAGCTGATAATCAGTGTGAGAACTTCAGTATTATCACACAGATGAGGGACAGGAAGCAGAAGCATTTCCTAAAATACGTTCTTAACAAATAGAGTAACTATGAGAAAGATCAAGTTGTATTTAGTAAATGGAAGCGATTTTTATCGGAAAACAGGAGGTTATTTCTAGTGATACTGATAATCAATGGCACTAGAGAGACCTTTTGAACTCTGTATATTCAATCTATAGACTCTCTCCCCTGCCCTTCTGGGAAATGATTGGTATTTACCGATCCAACTATACACGAAAGGTAGGGATGCTAGCAGTGGGTTCGAGTCCTGTCGAAGTTGATAAACCAGCCACTTGGCTATGGCATATTTTCATCGTAAACTGCCGTCAGGGGAAACAGTTCACAGGCAGGACCGATTCAGTGGAGTCTCTATTTAGTTAACCTGCAGTAGAGGATGAAAACGATTTACCATCTGCTTCAGCCTAGTTCCCTCTCTAACCTTCAACCTGCCTGTTGGAGAGAATTTGTCCATTTGCTGCTCTCTATTACCTGCTTTCTTCCCAGATTTCAACGATGCCATTACTCTCGGAGGTTCCATTTGCTGCTCTCTATTACCTGCTTTCTACCCAGATTTCAACGATGCCATTACTCTCGGAGGTAACTGAGTTATGGATAAAGTTTGGCCCCCGACAAAGCTCGAATCCTCAACATTTCTACCGCGCGAGCAAAGTGCTGCATTATTGCATTCCCGTCATCTTCCTTCAGCTTTCAATGGTACTCATTAGACTAGACAGCATTTGTATATGAGGCTAATCCGGTTAGTTGACATCGGAAGTGAATCGCCGCCGTGGAAGCGAAGTCTCAATTCTGTTCCAAATCTATCCACATCTATTCCTGCAAAAAACATCCGAGCTCGGCTTACACCAAAATCATCAAAAATAATTTCTCTGATTTTTTGTCACCCAATCCAATTCAACGAATCCAATCAGAACAAAACAGGAACTCGAAGAGGAAGGAAGCCTTTCTAAGGCTCGTTGTGCTTCTCTCATAACCTTACCGATAAAATGGCATTGATAAAACTGGAGTGACCCCCCCCCCCCCCCC